CACAGTAAGTTTTGAATGATTTTAAGAAAAGAATTGACATGGACATATTTGATCTTGATATAATCTTGGCGATAATAGCATAGCTTCTATTTGAAGTATAGTTTCCATTTTTAGGGAATTTGCTGGATAATAACAAGTTAATGTTTAATTATGTAAATACTAATGATTTTCACTAACTTTTGATATTTTAATATTTGTTAAGTTCTTACAGTGTGCCAGACTCTATCCTCAGCCCTATTGAATTCATAATCTCACTTAGTCCTCCCAGGAGATGCATGAAAAAATCCTGTAATTTTCCCCTATTTTATATTGGAGAGAGATTGTGTAAATTGCCCGAGTTTATATGCTATATAAGAGCCTGAATTTTAACTCAGGCAATTTGATCCTACATTTTAACCACCTGGGTAGTGATTTGTAATCTGTATGCATACTAGAATCATGAGGGGGACTTAAAAACAAAACACATTAGATACCCAGAATTCTCAGTTAAATCCCAATTCCTGGAGGAGTTCTCTTGACATTCTCTTATTTTATTGTTTTTAAAAAATATGTTCTTATTGATTTTAGAGAGAGGAAGGGAGGAGAGAAACAATGTTCTGCTGCCTCCTGCATGCCCCACACTGAGGATTGAGCTGCATCCCAGGCATGTGGGAACCAGTGACCTTTAGGTGCATGGAATGATGCTCAACCAACTGAGCCACACCAGCCAGGGCATCATTCATTTTATTTTAAAAGTTCCTCCCAGTGATCCCTAAAGAGCGGACAGGATTTCTATGGGCTGAGCATGACTATATTGTCACCTCAGCATAGACTGAATAGTCATAAACATCTGTATTCCACCCCAAATCGCAAGATTAAAAAAAGCCTGCTAAATAATAAAATAACAGTTTTATTCTCACAAAGAGAAATGATGGCCTTCATCTTTTTTTTAAAACTGGCAGAAATAACAGAAGCAGAATCAAAGAAGGTAGAGGTAAAAAGGAAAAGGTGACAGGAGTATCAAGATAAGAAGAGAATAGTTGGATCGGGGTTGTTGGGGTAATAAGACACTATCTACTGATGAGTGGTCGGTAATATCAAAGGCACACTTGCAGAATGTTTCCTTTCCAGTAATTGTACAGACTCCCCTGCCATTAGAGATCGCTTTTCTTCTTGGTAGATTGAAGAGTGCTTTATCCACTAAATGCATCCCAGCAATATTCAGAGCTTAGGGCCAACATAATCATAAGTTGCCTTGTTATTGTGGAGGCAGCAGCCCCATTTAATAACATATTAAATGCATTATTCATTTATGTAACTCAGACCCAGGGACAGCTGCGGGTATGAAAATAGGAGCATTCTGTATTGCAAAAAGCAGGTGTGTGCTTACTTGAGTAAATTAACTGTGTATTTATGCACAATTTTCTTCTAAATTTCCAGGACAGGTCTGGTCGGGCTAATGCGATTCCATTTTCATCCAGGAAATGAAATAGTTTCAGAATGGTTTTTAATGAGCGTTTAAAAAAATTACCAAGCCTTCTCTGTGGCAGAATCCCAGGGGGAAGGATCCGTGCTTTGGATTTAAGCAGAACTCCTGTTGCTACAGGATTCAGGAAAGCCTGAGGCAATGATGGGGCAGAGCCCAGACAAACAAAAGGAATGTTCCCTAGATGATGATGACAGTGGCGATGGTGAGCCCATGCCTCTATAGCTGCTCGCCAAGACCGTCACAGGTGTGCTTGGATGCTAAGTGATTAAATTGTAATCTGCCTTCCATTTGCCTAGTAGTGCCTCACCTCACAAACAGGGAGTTACCGACGCACAGTTAAATTCAGTGGGATGCCATATTCACTATGTGACTTTGACAGTTATTTTTTTGCTACCATTGCTGGTACCAGAATGCCACTATGCTCCAGTATCCAAGGAGTAGAGATCTCGGTGAAGGAGCGGGTTTGTTTTTTTTTTAATATATTTTATTGATTTTTTACAGAGAGGAAGGGAGAGGGATAGAGAGTTAGAAACATCAATGAGAGAGAAACATCGATCAGCTGCCTCCTGCACACCCCACAACTGGGGATGTGCCCGCAACCAAGGTACATGCCCTTGACCGGAATCGAACCTGGGATCCTTGAATCCACAGGCCGACACTCCATCCACTGAGCCAAACCGGCTAGGGCAGGAGCAGGGGTTTGAGGCTGCCACTTGTGCTAGGTGTGAACCCTTCAGTTGCTGAATTGTAAGGAGAATCAGGGATTCAAAAGAGAGGGATCTGCACAGCTGGGTTGGTGGGTGAGGTGCCTGAGGGGCTATTTCAGTATTTAAAATGGAGCCACATCCCAGTGTGGACCTCCTGATGATCAGGCTTGCATATGCAGGGCACAAGGATGCTCTCAAGGAGCTTAAAGTTCACAGTCATAGACAGGAAGACAGTCCTGCAAGGCATACATGATTCCTATCAAGTCAATCAGAAGGATTCCTTAAGGAGTTTAGAGGAGGGATGATCTTGCCCCATTTAAAGAATCAGTACAGCGCAGCAGTAAAAAGCAGATGTGTTCCAGAGACAAATTGTCCAGGGTCCTGGCTGTGTCATCTTGAGAAAATGAGTTAACTTCTTTGAATCTTAACATCTTTATCCCTATATCAGGAGTAAGAATACCTTCCTTATTAGGGATATTTTGAAGATGAGTAAGAAAAGTCTTGTTAAGAATTTATCCCTATGACTAAACTACAGTGCAATAAGAACTTTCTAAATCTGAACTTTGTGCTGGCCAGTGTGGCTCAGTTCATTGGGTGTTGTCCCATGCACTGAAAGGTTGCCGGTCTGATTCCCAGGTAGGGCACATGCCCAAGTTGTGGACTCCATCCCAAGTAGGGGATGTGCAGGAGGCTGACCAGTGTTCTGCTCTCACATCAATATTTCTCTCTCAAGCTCCCTCCCCCTTCCTCTGTTTCTAAAAATCAATATATTTTTTAAATGAACTTCTGACAGCCAGCATGGCTCATTAGTTGAGAGTCGACCTATGAACTAGGAGGTCACAGATCAATTCCCGCTCAGGGCACATGCCCGTGTTGCAGGCTAGATCCCCAGTGTGGGGCATGCAGGAGACAGCCAATCAGTGATTCTCTCTCACCATTAATGTTTCTGTCTCTATCTCCCTTTCCCATTCTCTCTGAAGTCAATAAAAAAATATATTTTAAAGAAATATGAACTTCTTACATCTTACTATTTCACTATCACAGTCAGGAAAAGACAGGTGATAAGATGTAACTGAAAGCATGATAGTGATGAAACATACAGGAGGGCACAGAAGCAGAAAGAGCAAAAGAAAATAAATACTTTCAATAGGATTGAAAAGGGAGGTGTGTCTGGAGCAGAATGAGCTGTGGGGGAGACCGTGTCCAGAAAATTAGAATGAACTTAGCTTGTGGAGGGCTTCTGGCAGAAGTTTATGGCATTTGTGACTTATCCTAAGGGTATTTGGAAGACATGAAGTTTGTTAACAGGTCAAATAATAATATTAAATAAAAATAATTGGTTACATTATTATTATTAAATAGAAATAACATTTCATCAGCACTTGCTAATTGCCAGGGTGGTTTTAAGTACTCTGTGTACATTAATCCATTTAACCCATATGACTACCTTACAAGGTAAGTTAAAGATTAATAATTGACCTTGTGGTAAAACATAGTGGTCACAGCACTTTCTCACACAGTATTTAATTTGACTTTCTCAACCATGGGCTTAGGTAGTCAATTCTGAGACTCAGAACCTGAGGAAAGGACTTTGGCTAGCTCTGAAGGGATTGGAAAACAATAGCCGGCGAGCCAAATCCAGCACACTGCCAGTTTTTGTAAATAAAGGTGTTGTTGTTGTTTTTTAACCCAGCTGCATTCATTCCATGTTCAGTTTCATGCTACAACCAAAGAGTTGAACGCTTGTCACAAAGATCATATAGCCCACAAAGCTGAAGCACTTACTATCTGGCCCTTCATACCTGGTCTTGAAGAGTGGAAGATCTTGGGCTTTGCTTCCAGTTTGAGCTCTACCACTAATTGTAGACACTAATCTTGGGTAATCAAATACAGGGTGTCCCCCCAAAATGGATACACACTTTGAATAATTCTTCATTGCAATGGGTTACATCTGAAAAGAAAGAAGCATCGATTGAGCTATCAAAAAATGTATGTGTATACATTTTTGGAAGGGCATCCTATATATGAATACATAAAATGGTTACTGTGGACCACCACACAAAAAAGATGATGAATAGGTAACACTGAACCTACAAAGCCTTAAAGGTTAATAATCCTGAAACTGCAGATTTAATTTATTATGACTCTGATCAATTGTATGGAGTAAACTTATAGGATAATTTATTATTTTATTAAAGCGAAAATAAGAAGAAATAAGCAAAAGTTTAGGAAGGATTGGCTCAATCTGCAGAGTGAAGTCTCCTTAATATGAAGTTTCAATGATTTAGCCAGTATAACCCCACATGAAATGATGAGTAGAAATGATCAAATTTAGCCAACTTTATGAACTATGCCATTACTATATCATGCTCTGTAAGATCTAATGTTAAACCATGTCATCAATAACAATCTATTCTTTTTCTGAATTGCAAATTCCCATGTGATATATATTACTCATTCTAACCCTTAATTATATAACCTTTGGAGTATCTCCTAGATTATCCATATATCTCTTCAACTAGATTATAAACTTAGTGAGGGCAAGGACCATGTCTTCTACTGCTATGCATTTCCCACAGCGCCGAAGTGAAATGATTTATTGACTGACTAAATGAATGAAAGAAGCATATGAAAGTGCTAGTAATAGGTCCAATATGCTGCTATGATGATCCATCTTTCTGTTGGGTGCTTTATAATCCTCAAAGCAACATGAAATGTAGTTATTGATAGCCCTCAGGGCTAGGCAGCAGGTTCAGTTTAAAACATTGGGAGTGTGATCTGAATTATAATGAGCTGGATTACAACTTGAGCTCTTCTCCATGTAGGTATAGGAAGGTGGTTTCCAATAACTGCACGGACGGCGTGAGAGAACAGTACACGGCCAAACCACAGAAATGTCCAGGGAAGGCCCCACGGGGTCTCCGGATCGTCACGGCGGATGGAAAGTTGACAGCAGAGCAAGGGCACAATGTTACTCTCATGGTGCAATTGGAAGAGGTAGGACCGAGTCCCCTCTCCCCTCTGCCTTCCAGAGCCAGTGATTTTTTCCCCAAGAAATCATGGCTTAGTTTATATACATCTTTTGGGGCTTTATTTACATATGTTTAATGTTATTATTTAAATTTTTATTGTATTCTGCTTTTGGTTATTGTTTCTGTGGTTGTCATTTCATCTTCTCTGAGACATTTTATCAATGATTTTCATTGCAGTATTTCCCTCAAGAACTTTGCGGGTTCATACACCACGCTGTGTAAGAGGTCAGATTTCAGATTCCCCGTGGAAGTCCAAACAGAAAGTGTTGGCTCAACTGCTCTGATGGACTCACAGGGATGGGATGATCACAGTTGGTTTCGGGGCCAACCAAGGCAGCTGGGACTGACAAGGTCACCTTCCAGCGGGAAGGGAAGCACAGAGAAGCAGCATGATATTCTGTGCTTTTTTTTCCATCCTTGGGTTATTGGACAATATCTAGGTGATATGGGCAAAATAGCAAGTAGTCTCTAAGGATTAGAAAGGCAAGCTCAGGTTTCTGTTTTATTTCTAAGAACACAGTAGAACCAGATCTGAAACAAGAACTCACTCCTGGTCAGCTCCAGCCTTTGTACAAATGGAGTGCACCTCCTGGGGCAGAGGCCAGGCTCTTATCTGTACAGCTTTGCTTTCCTTGTAAGATGATCGGGCACCTCAAACTTGGCTGAGTGAAGTGGGAACAGATTGGGGAATCTGCTTCTAAGATATGTAAATGCATGCCTTCTGGGCACAAGAAAGGAAAAAAAAAGTAAGTCAGGTCATTCCAGTTGAGTGGGTACAGCTACAACAGCAGGGAGGAAATCTGCTGCCTTTGCTGTCAGACTGGGCCCCTTGATGCTCTTATCAACTGGTGCAGAATACCAAGCCCAGAGGCCTGCGCCCACCTCAGGAGGCCCTGGGGACCTCATGTCTGGCCATAGGATTCTGTGCTAATGATTCACCAGCTCCTCTTGCAGAAACAACTTCAGTTTCTCTATTGATCTCTAGATTATTTTTTAAATTTATCTTTCTTGTTGAATTCTTGAAAGTATTGCAGATGTCCCCCTGTTTCCAATTGACCCCCTCCACCTGGCTCCTACTGCCCTTCCAGGCTTCACCTCACTATTGTCTGTGTCCTCCGGTTACGCATATAGGGATATAAATTATTTGGTTAATCTCTTCCCAGCCCCCCCTCCACTTTTCTCTCTGAGATTCCTCAGTCTTTCCCTTGCTTCCATGTCTCTAGATCTATTTTGTTCATCAGTTTTAGCTTTTTTGTTTTCATTAGATTCCATCTCTGGATTATATACGTAAGCATGGACGATGCATGTGATAATTTGTGCAGAATAAAGAGAAGCAGGATGTCCCTGAGTAGCTGGATAGCACTGAAATACGGCACCAGGACAATTCAGATAGGCCACACTTAGCACTGACAGTGGTCTGGTTTGTGCATGCTTTCACTGATTGTCACATTTAGATCTCACAGCAGCCCTATATGAGTAGAGATTATCATCATTGTCATTTTATAGATGACCAGCTGAGGCACAGAAAAGTAACTTACCTAATACCACAAATCCAGGCTCCATGGTATCTTGCCTGTCCATGGTGTTTCTGTGGTGGAAAGAACCATTTTCTGGGAAAGAACTTTATGTGGTTGGTAAGGCTCCCTAGAAACGCTTGGCTGCGGACAGGGAGTGACAGAGATCAAGGAATAGAAAGAAGAGGTAAAATGATCAGTGTCCTAGCCTGGCTGGTCTATGGCTGCTCCTGTATTCTGAGACACTAGTCCATATCTAAACCAAGATTTCCCCCTCATTGTCTGAAAAGGTTCATGCTTGGGATCAGTTTGTTAAAAAACTACTTAAGCCAAGAGAGAAGTCAAATCCTCTCTTGGGTGTCCCCTCTCTGTGCAAGACCATGCCGTCATTGATTGGCTACTGTGTATCTGGCACCCGTTCGATCTATTTTAAAGATATTGGAAAGCACGGGATATGAAGGGAGCACTCAAGGAGTTTGCTGTCCAAACTTAATCATGCTATAATATTTTTAAAATTTCATATAGAAGAAAAAAATAACCAAAAATCCCTGACATATGTCACTGGCAATACATAGAGTTTCCATGTCCTCCTCAAAATCTCTAAGAGTCAGTTTCTCATTTGAATTTGATGCTCCTCAGTTTACTTTGAATATAATGTCTTATACATGCCCCCTTACCTCACGCCTATTCTTCCTAACAGTAGGAAGATATGCCATGCTTCTGATGCCCTAAAGCAGAAGGTCCTCCAGTGCCAGAGGGACCAGGAGGTCTCTGCTACCCTCTGCTATGACACTAGAGTGTGATTAATGCAGAAGTGGGCAGGAGACTCACCTCTCCACGTCGGTATATTTTGTCACTTTGGCACCAATGATTGTGCCTGTGTCTCATGGTTTCTCTTTCTCCTATAAGCCTTGTGTCTGTCCGTAGGGCTAGGCTGGGCTAGAGGCTGATGCCACCCTCCTTTCTTTGCCCCCAGTGACTTGCATACAAACCCCTCCATGTAGATTCCATCTCGTGTGCATTAGAGACCTGAGGCGTCACCTGCCCCACCAAGTTGTTAGCCTTGTGTGTGTGTTTATTTGTGCTTTAACAAATATTTCATTAAGTTTTGATTTCAAACCATGTACTTTTCATTCATGAGTATACATAGTTCAGTTCGTGGAAATCATGTTTTGGGTTAACTAAGACCTCTGCTATATCAAGTTTTAAATAAAAACAAACTCACCACATGAAATAGAACATAAACATTTTGTGTCCATTTAAAACAAAATGAAAAACTAATTTACTATATTATATTGTAATAATATTTACCCCCCAATAAATTATAAATAATTACTAAGGTAGGGGTCATGCCATTCCTGGTTGCAGCTCTAGCATCTCTACTCACTGTGCCCCAGAGATTGTTAGGAATTCAATGTGTCTGGGTTTGGATAGGCTTCCAGAGTGGTCACAAAGCCCAAACTTTGAATATAATTTGCTTATAATTTGAATAACATCCACAAGCTATTAAAGTCTTGCTCTGAAACCTAAATCCCCTCCTTTATTCTTTACTAGTCTATGTCCTAATTCTAACAAGACTATCAATGAAAACCTTGCTAAAACCAGAATCAAGAAGAAAACTTCTTATTGACCAGAGTTAATCAAAGGCTAAGCACAGAGATGCTAGCTTGTATCTCCATGTAAAAAAAGATGTACCCAAGTCAGAATTTTGCAGATTTTCACATGTGCCAGAAGCAGAACCCCTTCCTGCAAATAGCATGTGAGGCCAGCCGCCACATCTAAGTGACAAAAGTGACTCCATAACCAAAGCCTTCAAATCCCACAGCGTGGCTCACCTGGTGGATTACTCCAAGAACCACATAACTATTGAAGTTGATAAAAGGTCCCTTGTCAGGAACCCTATTCCTGCTGCTTTTATGCTTCTCTCCAATATATTCTAATGAGAGAACCTTCATTAGAAGTCATAGGGTAAAGGAGCCAGCCTTGATTCCATTTGAGACTCAAGAGGAAAACACACACACGTACACACATACCACCACCACCACCACTACCACCAATGCATTCATGCATCATTGGTTCTTTAAGGAAAAAGAACAGTTGATCAAGGGACCAACCTAGAGGGGAGAGGAGGAGTCCATAAAACTCTGTCCAAGAAGCTGCTTTCCAATTACACCTGAATTTCAGGAAGCTGATCAAAAGTGTTTTCTGAGACTCAAGCATTCGGTGAGGAGTGGCATCACTCTGTCTGGAGACTTGCTGAAGATGGATGTCCTCTGGACCACTAATGAGCACCTAATGAGCCTATAGACGTTCAAGGCAATCACTCGGCTTCCCAGAGAAACCCAATGCAAGGCCCTGAAGGCACAGGATGGATGGTGAAGGGCCTAATTATTCTTAAGAACTCAGCGAAACCGATCTGGAATGCATTCGTTTGAGAGGACTGCTAGGCAGTCCTCTGCATGTTAGGGAAGATAATTAAATACATTTTAAACAGCCATAAGAATAAAGAGATGCAATTCGCTGCATAATTTAAGACTTTTAAATTAAATCTGAGGCAAGAGACCAAAATGAAGACTTTGATCTGTATCTCATTGTTTTAATACTTTCATTTACATACAAAGACTGAAACTTAATAAGGAGAATTCATGAGTATTGCTTCTGTGAGATTTGACTTCAAGACGTGAGGTTGTGTCCTCGTTTGATGGATTTCAGTGATCGGTAGCTCCACATACATTGACAGATGTATGGCAGCATGGGAGTGACCATAATGTAATAACACTTCATAAATATTGCAGGGCGCTGCCAGCCCTCCGATGGTAGGGAAGATGACTCCCGCTGAAATTTTCTGTGAGACACTCTTTGGTTGAAATCCTGAAAGACTGTGACCTACTTTTTCATCCGAAGAAGAATTGGGGCTGTTAGCGATAGCACAAAGAGGTAGCAGGCAATGTGATGTCTAGGCAGGTGTTGGTGCCTCAGCCAGCCCAGATCTGAGCGAGAAACCTCAGCTCTTTTCTCCTTCCACACAAAGGAGCAAGAGCTGATTTCAATGAGCCATGGGGATTCAGAGGCTTTCTCATGTATTATTCCTTACTCCATTCAGCTTTATTCTCTTTGACTCTAGAAAGGTAATTGAGCCTCTTCGCTTCTTCTTTCTTGTTGCTGCCATTTAAAAAGGAAGGAAGGAAATGAGACAGGCAATATAGGTTGTCTTTAGTCAGAGGCCTAGTGTCTGAAGTTCAGGTTGGATTGGTTCGAACTCTTTCTAAGATTCCACTTCCCTCTCCCCTTAATACTGGTCCACAGCCATTGGTGCATTGCTATTCTCTAGGGTTTCAGGGACTAGATGTTTGCAAAGAACTTCAGTCTGCCTTGACAAGCAAAGAGAAAACCTGTCTCATTACTGGGAGTTTTAGTTCAGCGACAGCATAAAATAAAACTGTACAATGAT